CTGCTCTCCTGAAAGACTTGAAAGAAATAAGGATATTAAACAAATATATACTAAATAGCCATAAGGGCAAAACAGATCTTTGCCTTTGGATTTCCTACAAGTAAAAAATAATACTAAAGAAGTAGCTGCTAAGGCCATTGTAAAATGCCATTCCTTTCCATGATTACGCCCTGCCACTTGAGGATAAAGACAAATCAAACTCGACCCACCTTTCAGACAAAAAGATCAACCATTAAAAATAAGAAAACAGCAATTTAAAAAACCCACAGCACCACAAAAGCATTATGTTTGATGAAAGGGTAGTCTGAAAAAAAGACCAAGGTATTTAAACTCAAGTGATTAGGAAGAATTTAAGGCATGGTGGCACTCAGAACAGGTTGTACAATGGGGACCAAATCTGTTTAAGTGATACAGGGTGGGGGGGAAGAGGGGAGAGATAAAAAAAGAAAAAGCATAGGCTTTGTGTAAGGAAAGTCTCCTCCCAGCATTTCTGATGAAAAGGAGCTCAGGTCAGAGGTGGTGGGAAAGACTTCAATTAGGACCCCTATAAAGCTGCTATTCTTCAAGTCAGATAATGCCCAGCTGGTGGAACCAAAGGTTTTCTTTGGAATTGGGCATTTTCTTGGTACACGCCCCAGTCACCCAAAAGGTAAGCAGAAGGCAAAAAGCTACTAGTATGCAAAGAGGTGTTAAATGAGAACACTGATGTCCCTTCAGATGGAGCTGGACACCAACTTCCAGCCAGTATGGCCAATTGTGAGGGATGCCAGGAGGTGCAGTCCAGCAACAACCAGAGAGCTACAGTTTCTCCTATGCCTGTCCTGACATTGTAGCCCAAATATTATTTTCCTTCCCTGAGTAATTCAAAGGTGCAGGCAGGTAAGTAGGGGAAGAGAACAGTAAAAAGTTGTATCCAGACTGAGCCCTACAACAAGCAGATCCATTGAAAAATCAAGGGACTTTGGGACTAGTGAATTTGGACCCAATCAAGCACCTTCCACGCACGATGTAAAACTAAAACAGGCACCAGGTAGGAAAACAGCAGCCATACCAAATTCATGCAGTATAAACAAGGTTCACTCTGGAGAAGAATCTATCTCTATGGCTGCTAAGAACCGACACCAACTCAATGGCACATCAAAATCAAATGGCCAGGGAAGGAGCAAGGCGTGAGTGTTTCGTGGACAAAACAATCTTACAGGGATAATTTGGGATAAAACAGGGATAACAGGGATACAGAGATACCAGGGATAAAAGAAGACAGTATTATGGGCAAAGGATTTCATTTCCACCAAGTTTCCCTTTATTTTTGATAAGGAAACAAATGCTCACCAAGGTATTACCAACAAGGAACCCGCAATTTCCCATGTTTGACACGAGTTCTGACAAACCAGAAAACTGTAACTGACTCCCACCAACTTCCTCCAATCCTCAGCATGAAGACAACAGCTTGGTTTTCACATAAACCTAAGCCATGATTTTTAAACCCTGGTTTGCTGAACAAACTTCAATGGCTTGCTCATAATGCTAAGCTGTGAGTGAAGAGGCGCCTAGAGGGACAGGGAGGGGAAACACAAAGGGAGCGTACCCAAAGTGAATGTGTGTGGAGAAGCACACTCACTTCTCTGCCCTTATTTTTCTCTGCAGACTCGCCTCCAGCAGTTCTGTTCAAGGTCACCCTCTCCCTTTTGGGGAAGGACAAGTATTTAGATTCTCCTCATGCCCCTGCAACATGTTTGCAAAGTTCTTCACAGCCCAAACCACTTGCATTTGCTTAAGAGTTGGAGACCACCTCAGCAGGGCCTACTGAGGCAACCTGATGGATTCTCCCATGATGCTAAACCCAAATCTCCAATCTCCTTTACAGGTTTGTATGTGGCCAAAATTAGCCACAGCCTCCCTTTGCTGCTATGAGAGGTTCTGAGAGAGGAGCCATACTTACCTTCACATAGATGACAGGGATGGTCTGTTTGGCTTTGGTGAAGTGGCGGGCCACACGATAGACCGTTTCGGGCACATAATCAAGGACTAAATTAAGGTAAACTTCATCCTTCTGCAAAAGAGTGCAGAGTAGAAGAGGTCAAATGGAATCCCCCAGCTAACAGCATCTCATAATAGGGCAGTAGACTATATTATTATTTATTTGGTTTATATGGCTGCCCATCTCACCTAAGCGACTCTGGGTGGCTCACAACAGGTAAAAACCACCCAACAAAAACAAGTATCAATATACAAACATATAAGAATGGTCTATATGGAAGGCTCCTGTTCGAAATGCCACTTTTAATTTCAGTAAAGAAGGATTCTAGCCCTGATAGCTGCAGTATAAAAATGCAGAGATAAACATGTTTTATTTATAAAATGAGAAATGCCCTTCCTTCTCACCCTCTCAGAAAGCCATAGCTGAAATTCCAGGTTCAGACAGCACGGTTGTGGCTTTCTTCCCTGTAATTCTTGAGCTTTTGTGCTCAGAGGCATCCTGCTATTACTACCTTCAATTATTTTTGGATTGAGCTTCAACAACAAACGTGCATCTTGCAGCTGAGCACCGAGAGTCCTGCCTCAGATTAAGCTTTGGCTAAAACACCAAAGGGTTGGAAATGAAGAGGACAATTAAACACCTCTCAATTCATTATTGCTTTTCATTTTTTAGACATCCCTACAGCCTAGATTTAAGAACTTGTACGTGTAGATTTGCCAACCAAATCGCTAAAATAACCATCTCCCAATGTTCACTCTTTTAAGCTGACAGATAAGGATGTCTCAAGATCTGGCAAGCTTTTCTGGATAGAAACACAGTAGAATACAGCGTACTTAACAATTAACCTGTACAGTATCCTCATTACATAAATCTTGTTAATCCACATTCAAATTCCCTTTGGGACAGAGAACTGTCAGTGTGGGAGGTCAGCTTGGCGGCAACCAGGTTTAAACCCCTATTTGGCTACCAAGCTTACTAGATGATTTGGCACACTTAGCTGTGTGCCACTTAAAGCACACATGCAGTGCTTTAAGACAAAATCAAACAAACCAGATTTTGGCTCAGTATAACTGGGAGATCAGACAATATCTATCAACCTAATCTGCCTCACAAGGCTGATGTGAAGGTAGAATTGAGGAAAAGAGGAGACCAAAAGAACTAAGTGTTGGAAGGATACTTTGGACATACGGTACAGAAACCAAGAGCCAGCTCAACCAGAGAGAATCCATGTCTGAATGGAGTGTAACCTCTCTGCAGGTTTGTCCAGAAAATGACCTTTTCTAGTGTTCATGATGGATAATAAACTTAATGAACAATAGGATGAATATACAATCTAATGGAGTACATATAGTCCATCTGAATACACGGGTACATGGAAGCACAACATATGGTAAGGTGGACTTAAAACAATGTTGTATCAAAGACCAGGAGAACATCAAAGTATGACTGATAGATAAAAGTATCAAGAGTCAGGACATGAATTTCCATGATCAAGAACTAGCCAAGGAACTAGACCCCTCCCCAAACTGTCTTCTAAAAATGTAACAATATTTTATGATGAGATGGATAAAAACCAGCTGGTCACAGTCCAATATTTTTAGCTTATAAAATGAGACAAAGGAAGTTCTGTAAGAAGTAAGCAGTATAAAGAATTTCTCCATTCTATAGCCTGTCTGTTTAACTGCTGTTTTTTCCCTGATTTCTCTTGCTACTTTTTCCTCACTAAGAAATCTTTCTGGAATCAAGGAGCTACAAGACAATTGTTGGTAATGATCTAATTACTAATCCAGATACCATCTATACCTACATTAGTTGGGGAAACTGTGTTGATCAGCAACATGGACTTCTAACTAGTCATGGTGGAACTGAGAACTATTAAAGGGACACCTGTATTCAAGCTATAAACCTAAGTAACTGTTGCACTTTGAACGGTTTCCTTTTGAAGTGATTGTGCCCATCAAGGACAAAGATCCTGAGA